AACAACATGATTATCAATTGATAATACACCAAAAGGGGCATTTCTCAAAAATTCTCTTCTTTTAGTACAATAGATAGAATATCGAATTTCACCAAAACAAAATAGATAGAATATTGAACATTATATTGTTTTTTTATATAGAAAATCAAGTATAAATTTTGAAGTTAATAATAACTATACTGATCTTTATATCATTATATGTTGAATCACAAACTAAGTATAATAATTATTATTGTAAAAAATGTATTACAATTTTTTTGGAGGTAAGAAAGAGTTAAGAATAATTGATTTGATAGACAAAAATTTCATTTGTTAAAAAATTACATACTTTCTAAATAAAATAAATATACATGGATATGTAAGAAATAAACAAACATCCAAACTAAAGAATGAAGATGCTTTCTTTAGCTTGATTTTCTTATTGTGCGATGGTCGGAAATCAATATTTTTGAATCTCCATCGATAATATCATTTTATTATAGCTAGAAAATATCATTAGTATGTATTATTTATTTAAATATATAAGAAAACAATGAAGAAAGAAAGAAATACATAAAAACAAAAAAAACTTGAAAAAGTAAAATATAGTTAAACCAAATATATAATCAATCTCTTACAATGATATCTTAATTGAGTTTTCAACACATGCAAGAACATTAAAAACTAAAAAAAAAAGAAAATATTGAGGGTATGAGATGTGGTGGAGGAGGATGTGAGAATGGTTATTTATAGGATAAAAAGTGATGTAAGTTACATTTCTAAAATAATTAAATTAGAGGAGTTATAATAATAATTTATTGTGTGTTAATTAAAACTAAATAGAGTAAACAAAAAGTCAATTCACAATTTATATTATTTCAGTTACAATTCAGTAGTAAAATGTAGATTTAAAATATGAATTTAAAATATATAATTAAATGTATTAAATATTTGGTTTAATTAAAAATAAATATTATAATTAAAAAATAAATACTAAACGTACCAATAAGAAGAGAGTGAAGTCTTACTTATATATACATGATTCATTTAAACTACGTTGGGTATAATTGTTGGTCGAACTTATTTTATTTTTTGTATACGTCTCAATGAGAATCTAAACAAATATCGGTTTTATAAGAGATGAATAGTGCATATTATTCTCTATACTACTGTGTTTGTTGAACACATGTAACGCTCTAATTGTATATACTACAAGAAAATAGCGAATTAGCGACTACAAAGGAAGTCACTAAACAATCGCTAAACCCTCCTTTTATTCAGGTTTCGCTAAACAATTTTGTAATCTCATAAATAACAATTGTATTTGTATCTCATGTCAAACTAGTTTTAAAATTATAAAATAAAATATAAATAGTTATATACAAAAAGTTGATACGTGTTATTATCTGATCGATAGATGAGACATGTGTCACTATTATTTAAATAACTAGTTTTTAAACCAAATTTTATATGATAAAATATTTAAAATTCAGAAATGAATTAATTTTTGGCTCAATGTTTTCTTTCTTTTACTTGTATCTAGTGTTTACCAGAAACCTAAAATAGAAAATTAATTGCCGTAAACTAAAAATCATTTGACCTTGATTGAATGACAGAACAAAAAGCTATGCATGCTTTCATGTCAGTGTATTCATTTCATGTCCAAAGTATTAAAATATTTTATTTCCCATCACAATGAAATATTAAAGATATCAATCTTATCTCTTAAACATCATTTGTAGAAGGTGCTCATAAAATGATTTGTCAATAATTATATGATTTGCTATAGCTTTATCATAAAAACTTGGAACTTTAGTGATTTGTCAAACCACTGATTGTCATACTCATTCTCGTAAATGATTCAAAGATTTTTTTTTGGTGTCCTAAAAATAATGAGTTTTTTTTTTGTAATTAGTGTTTTTCTTTTCTTTACAAAGCTAAATAAAAGACCGATTAGAATCGCATTAGAACTGAACCATAATTGTTAGTTGTTACTTATGAATAACATTGGAAATCAATTCCTAAATCTGGTATGAATGTTAACCGTGTAAATGTTTTATTCTCCTCATATATATATCCTAATATTATTTGATCAACACATAGATTTGTTTTGAATAATATGTAAACTATATGAGAGATATCCTAAAATAGCAGTAAAACAAGTTTTATAGATAATTATATCACACACTCCTCAAACTTATAGTATAATACTAATTACCAGTACAACATAATATTCTCAATTTTTTTAAAACATTTTCAGGTTTGAATTAACTATTTTATATTTACGATATGGTTTTTAGAGGTAGAATTAGAGTTTAGAATTTAGAATTAAGTTTGAAATTTTAATTATAAAATATAGTGCCATTTTTGAAACTTTAGATAACGAATGCTAAATTTAAAAATATTTTTTTTTTGCGCTACTTATGAGATTTGCGCAAACTGAAACCATTAATATATGTTTATTACTTGACTTGGTCTCAGTTCGGTATGATTTTCGTTTTGGTGGGGGTTCGGCAAAAATATAAACCTCGACGGCCATTCAATCGCTAGCTAGTTCACCTTAATCCGTCCTCTTTCACCGTCCGACTTAACTTATAAATAACTCATAATTTTCAGATTTTGGTTTGCCTACAAAAAAAAAAAAAAAAAAAAAAAGTGGTCGAACACAATCCCTAATTTGATGGACTATGAATCATAAATGCCTGGGAGCAACCCAATCCCTAAAGAAAAATTAGCTAGCTTTTGAGAACGACTCAAATCTATTAAATTGCAATATGATTTTAGGTTTTATTTAGAGATATTAGTATATTACATTACTCATATACTAGAGGACTCATCACGCACATACAATAAAGCCAAGCAAAAGAGTCCCTCCTTAATCATTTCAACGAAGAACTGGATCGGAGCAGTCTCTCTGGGTGAACCACCTTCTCATGAATCATCTCACACTTCATGTTCCACTTCACCACACTCCCAACCCCTCCATGCTTAGGAACAGAGTAAGTATAAAAATTGGCAAGTGTTATTATATGATCGATAGGCGTGACATACGTCGTCACTATTATGTAAAAAATAAATTTTATATAATAAGATATTCTGAAATGATTTAATTTTTGGCCAATGTTTTCTTTCTTTTACTTGTATCTAGTGTTTACCAGAAACCTAAAATAGAAAATTATTTACACTAAACTAAAAATCATTTGACCTTTGATTGAATGAGAACAAAAATCATTATTGTCGTGCGTGGTTCCTTTTCAATCTCTAGCTTTTGATAGTATTCATTTCATCTCCAAAGTATTTAAATATTTTATTTCCCATCACAATCAAAATCTAAAGATAACAATCTTATCTCTTAAACATCATTTGTAGAAGCTAAGTACTCATGGGTTTGTCAATAATTACATGATTTGCTATAGCTTTATCATAAAAACTTGGAACTTTAGTGGCTGACGTTTATTATGTTCCGCCAAAACAAATATTTTTTCTGGTGTCCTAAAAATAATGATATTCTTTGTAATTAGTTTTGTTATCTTACTAAAGCCAAATAACATCGAGTGCGTATGTTAATCTTTTAATTTTTGTGACTGTTCTATCATATATATAATATATATATATAGGACCCATTAGAATATTCTAAAAAAAATTCAATAACTTTGTTCGCCAAACTGAACCATAATTGTATTTCCTATATATATATATATATATTCTCTTATTAGTTATTACTTATGAATAACCATTGAAATCAATTCCTAAATCTTGTATGAATGTTAACCGTGTGAATGTTTTATTCTAATCTTATATCCTAAAATTATTTGATAAATAAATATTTTTTTGAATAATCTGTAAATTATTATATGAGAGATATCCTAAGGTAGCAGTAAAAAAAGTTTTATAGACATTTATATCATACACTCCTCAAACCTATAATATATCATACTACAGTATTCTTAATTTTCTTAAAAACATTTTCAGGTTTGGATTGACTATTTTAGATTTACGAAATGGTTTTTAAGGGTAGGATTAGAGTTTAGAGTTTAATTTAATTTAATTTTTATTTTAAAATACAGTGTTATTTTTGAAGCTTTGAAGATTATAGGCTAAACTTAGAAATAAAATTGGTTTTCGCGCTATTTATGAGATTTGCGCAAACTGAAGCCATAAAAATCTGTTTGTAACTCAACTCGGCCAAAAATATAAACCTCGAAAGCCGTTCAATTGCTGGCTAGTTCACCTTAGTCGGTCATGTTTCACCGTCCGATTTAACTTATAAATGATTCATAATTTTAAGATTTTGGTTTGGTTACAAAAAGAAAAAAAAATGGTTCCCGCTTGTTTTGGTTTCCTCGATATTACAATAATGAATGATATAACACTTCTGAAAAATCCTTGTGATTCCAATCCTTTTGTTAGAGTCATTGCTGCGGGGAAATAGCAAAAAAATCAACCCAGACTATTTGTTGGCGGTATTTTCATACCCAAACTATAATATCCGACAAATAGCAACCTAAACTCTCAAAAATTCAAATTCTCAACCTAAATTATATGAAATCAACCAAAATCAACATATACCGAAACGATATTAGTTAACCACTTAACAGCGATGAGTCAACCGACACCGTCTCAATGACATGACATCGGAGTTGAGTAAAATGACGTTGTTTCGTGAGTTTAGGGTTCTCAAATTGAAGATTCGATGAGTGTTTGCTTTTAGCAATACTTTGATTCGAGAATCCTAAACTCAAGAAACGACGTCATATTTACTCACCTCTGATGTTCCGTCATTGCCTCGGTGTCGGTTGACTCATCGCCGTTAACTAACACTGTTTCAGTATATGTTGATTTTGGCTGGTTTCATATAGTTTAGGTTGGGCATTTAAATTTTTTGTGAGTTCGGGGTGTTATTTACTGATGCATGAGAGCAACCAATCCCTAAAAAAAAATAAGCTAGCTTTTGATGACGACTCAAATCTATAGAATTGCAAAACGATTTAATCTAAGGGATATTAAGGTTTTAGGTTTTATTTAGAGATATTACATTACTGAGAAAGACATACAATACACAAGAGGACTCGTCACACACACAATAACACTCAAGCCAAGCAAAAGAGTCCCTTATTATTCCTCACACAAGAGGTATTGGTCAACCTCCTTAATCATTTCAACGAAGAACTGGAGCAGCCTCTCTGGATGAGGCACCTTCTCATGAATCCTCTCATACTTCATGTTCCACTTCACCACACTCCCAATCCCTCCATGCTTAGGGCTCACCTTCATCGTTTTCAAGAAGCTCTTGTACTCTTTCTTCAAAGGTCCCTCTAAAACCCTCCATTGAATCATATTCTTCTCCATATCCATCACCTCGATCCGATCCTTCGACACTCTTGGCTCTCCATCTGCACCAAAAGGCGTTTATATATAAACCATACTGAAAAGTTTATCTTCTTGCCTAAAATTATATGTAATTTTCATTACCAACTATTAACTTCCACAAGAGTATGCTTCCAACTTTGTCCCACTCTCCTTCGAGCAGATCACATCCCTGAATGTAACGAGTGGCTTTGGAGACGTGTTGCGGTCTTCTCGCGAACATGTGAAACTTAGAAGCCGTAGTTTTGATCTCTACTTCAGCTTCAATCTCCTCCTCTGCCATTTTTTCGCTGCTTTGTTTCTCTATGTCCATGCATGGACTTAAGTGAATTGCAATTAGAATGAATGATTTACTTTGAGTTCGTAGCTCCTTTTATAAAGAGGATGGAGTGAGATGTGATTAATGACTCAGCTTTTTTTTTCTTTTTCTTTTTTTTTTTCTTAAAAATTAAAAGATTGAAGACTGCAAGGTGAAATTCTAAGCAAAATAAATTTAAATATAAAAAAGTACAAATAAAAATTTGGAATTTTTTTCCCTCAACAGATTTGTAAAGTTAGGATATTAAATTATCTAGTATTGAGAAGGATGAGTATTGGGATCTCTCTCTCTCTCTATTGGTTTCATTTCTTGGTTTAATAATAACAATTAGGTTAAAACTTGCGCTATGTCACGAGGTTGTTGTTAAAACAAAAGCTTCATCATCAATTGACATCGTACCAAATCAACACAGAACTTCAACCTCGTCCCAAATTTCCTTTCAAACCGCACATATCGAGAGCTATTGAAGCCACATAATATGTACATCAAACTTCCCAGCCATAACATCTAAATCACTTTGCATGAGAAACTTCTCACTGTAGGAATTAGGCAAGGTTCACAAGAAATATTAGAATGGGTGAGATTAAGCCAGAGAGAGATGGGTCGAATCCAGAATTGAGATTCTCTAAAACAGCGAGACCAGAGTAAAGCTCTTCGAGCTTGGTTCTTATGAGTTGCAAGGTCGTGGTCCTTACACCGGAGTCTGTCGATGGTCATTGGACCGATCAATCTACTGTGCTCTCAATCATAGATTGTTCAATTTTGGCTTTGTCGATTGGGGTGTTTAATTTTACGGTTTGTTGTGTTCAGTTTTGAAATCGGGTTGAAATAAGGTTTAGTTTGGTTAATAGAATTCTTTAGTTGGTTAAGAAAATATTAAACCAACAATAAACCTCATCAACTTTGATTAATGGGGCAATAGATGATATTCGATACTTTGAGGAGGAAATAGCAATAGAACTTTGGATTTGGGTGGAAATAAGTTTAGAATTATCGATTCCGGGATATATTTAACGAGGTTGAAGTTCTACGTAGATCTGATATGATGCCATACTTCTCGGTGAGAAATAGGACGTCGATCCTCAATAACCTAAAGAAAATTTCAAGACTTTCTTCCAAAAAATTTCAAACATACACAAGAACTTTTCAACTTTTTTTTCTCCAGTTTAATACTTGTGTAAGTATTTTTATAATTAATATTTTTCTTGATAAAATAAATTTTTTTATTGTGTTGTGTAACGCCCGTGTTCTGGAAAATAATAGGAGACTTGAGTGTGTATAAGAAGTTTAATTCCGGTTGATTTCCTAGGAGACTTGAGGGTGGAGTCGGTTTAATTCCGGTTGATTTCCTAAACTGGTCGATTTGTCAATTGAATCAAAAGAAGTTTAATTAATGTTGGTTTAGTTAAATCCTGGTTTAATCAGATTAAACCAAAAACCCTATTTTTATAAGGAACGCCTCTTCTCTCTTTTGTTTTGTCACTGCTTGTTTCTGAGAATTTAGTTTGAGAAAATGAGAATGAGAAGTTCACTTGTGAAAAGGAGAGGGTTAGCTTTGCTTTGGTGTTTAAGGCAAGGGAAGCAGATTCGTCACGTCTTGGTATAATAGAGTTACGACGTATCAAATCTTATCGAAAGGTAACGAAATTTGGTAGGTTTGCTATTAAGGCGTGTAGGTTGATTTTCCTTTTTACAGAAGTGAATTACGATTTAAAATCAGTGAGTTTTATGCAGTTTGGTGAGACGCTTCTTCTCTATTGCGATCTAGGATCAGCGGAGTTTGTAAGTGCGATCGTGGTTTCATCGTTTCTTTGATCGGCAGTTTTGTGGGAAGCTTAGTGACGTCTAGGTCTTGCTTTCAACCGAAGGGATTCAGAAGTTAACGGTTGGTTTCTGGTTTAGGGCTTCGTTTCGGCGGCTGTAATTTTTCTGTTGTTTCTGTCCATTTTGGTTTACAGAGATTTTGTTTCTGTGGATTGTTGTAGGGCGTTGTTTGGCTGTTGCAGTCGCGAACAGAGTCTTTTCTGGTTGTATTCGTTATTCAAATCACCTTGTTAAGGTGAGTGCGTGACCATGAGCTTATCTAAGCGATTGAGATTGAGGGACCTGTTTATGATGATTTGTAGGTGAATTGGAAGTATTATTGGATGTTTAGCTTGCAGAATGGTTTGTTTATGTTATATTTGTGGGTGTTATCTCATTGCTTGTGTGTATAGCTCGTAGATGGGAAGATCGCCCTCACTAAGTATTTATGAAACACTTATGCATCTCATTGTGTTTGTGGTGCAGGTAAAGTGTGACGTGGAATCATGGCGAGGACAGGAGGATGATCTAGGGGCTCGTTGGTGTTCTTGAATTATTGTTGGAATTTTTAGGTTATTAGACTGGAATTTAGAAGCATGATAGGGTGATTGTGTTTCTGAAATAGTTGTTGATTGGTTTGGTTTAATGGAATTGTTTGGTTTAATTTATTATTATTAATTAGGGTCGGTTTAGCTGGTTTAGTGGTTTAAATTGATTAGGATCGGTTTAACTGGTTTTGAATTTATTGGGTTAATCCGGTTTGCATGTTAAAAGAAAAAAATGGGATGGATTCTTTCAATTTGGTATCAGAGCCCTTACGGTTCTAGGTGATGATTTGTAGGTGAACTGGAAGTGTTATTGGATGTTTAGCTTGCTGGATGGTTTGTTTATGTTATATATGTTGATGTTATCTCATTGCTTGTTTGTATAGCTCGTAGATGGGAGGATCGCCCTCACTAAGTATTTATGAAATACTTATGAATCTCTTTCTGTGATGCAGGTAAAGAAAAAGTGTGATCCGTGGAATCATGGCGAGGAGAGGAGAATGATCTAGGGGCTCGTTGGTGTTCTTGAATTATTGTTGGAATTGTTTGGTTTAATTGATTTAAATTAATTAGGGCCGGTTTAGCTGGTTTGAGTTGATTAGGTTAATCCGGTTTGCATGTTAAAAGAAAAAACGGGATGGGTTCTTTCAATTTGGTATCAGAGCCCTTACGGTTCTAGGGCGAGAGTAAACTGGTGATTTTTTTTAATGTGATGTGTGAATTTTGTTTATGAGAAATGATGATGTGGATTGCATGCTGATTGATTTGTGTGTTTAATCAATTGTGTGAACATGAATTCCTAGATCATCCTCTTGAGCCTTTAATTAGATTCCACGGTAAGTTGTGATGTTTTGTCTTTTCCATGGAAGGGCGGGTTGTGATGTTGTGGAGGTCAGTTGGTAACAGCTTCCATGGTGGGAAGGTTGTTAAAGGGTGAGGTCTTGGGTTCGAGGAACGCCAAGCGCACCAATAACTTACCTGGTGGGCCAGAGAGCTGCGGGCCAGAAGACTACGCAGATTGGGCCCACATGAGAGAGGTTAGGGTCGATGCGCTGCAGCGCTGTAAGATTCCCATGTGGCGGGGTGTGCCATGTGGCGGAGTGTCCCACTGGACAAGTTGTTACATTAAAAGTCGACTTTTATGTAACAACCGGCCCCGTGGGACACTCCGCCACATGGCACACTCCACCACATGGCAACCTTACAGCGCTGTAGCACATCGACCCTAACCTCTCTCCTATGGGCCCAATCTGGCATGTAGGCTCTCTTGTGGCCCACATGCCCTCATGGCCACCAGGTATCTTTATATATAAATTAGCATTTTCACATTTGAAAATAAACAAAAAATGAAAAATAGACCTAAAGTTATTTTCGGTCACCTATTCGACTACTTTACAATAAAAATGGGCCCCATAATTTTAGAATAGTTTTTAAGAAGTAAACGGCCTTTGCGCCGCTGCCCCTTTATCCAACCTAGTTGAGCGAGACATGTATATACTTCTTGCTGTAGCGTTTTTCTCGTAGACCTATATTTATAGAACATAAAGTTTTTTGTGATTGTCAAAAAGAAGTTTACAATTGGTGGATCTTCCATATATATTAATAAATTTTTATTTTGACACACAAATATTTTTATATAGATTGGTGCATGTATATGGATCTTCACATAAACTAAATAATATTTTTAGTCGAACTAAAGAGATTTTCTTCTTAATTATTTTATTTTTTCAAAAGCAAGGTTGACTCTGATCATATACCATATCAAATTACGCTAAAGAATCGGGTTCAGAGAATAGCTAAGACATTTTGTTTGAAATAAAATGGTTTATTATTATATATATTTTTTAATAACTATTGATGTACTCAGCTCTGGCTCAAGAAATTAGAATCCCCTTGGGCGAAAAATGTTTTTGGCCTTTTATCTAATTTATGCTAAAGAAATTCAATTTTTGGGCCTATAAAACATGATTTTTAAGATATCTTTATATATAAATTAGCATTTTCACATTTGAAAAAAACAAAAAATGAAAAATAGACCTAAAGTTATTTTCGGTCACCTATTCGACTACTTTACAATAAAAATGGGTCCCATAATCTTAGAATAGTTTTTAGAAGTAAACGGCCTTTGCACCGCTGCCCCCTTGTCCAACCTAATTGAGCCAGACCTGTATATACTTCTTGATGTAGCGTTTCTCATGCCAACGGGACTAATGGCCATAACCACCTTATCAACTTCATTTATTCTTGTGACTATGACCAACTTGTCTACCATCTCCCATCGTGGAAATCTGTTAGACAAACTTTGATATCACATGTGTTAACTAGCTTATTAGCGTTTGCTTCAAAGCTCTCTTGGGTTATTTTTTAACTCATATTATCTATCTTGAGATGCCTTGCTTCTTTTTGTTCTTAAACTTTGGATTTATGTATCCTTCTCTTTGTACTAATATTTATGATTTATGAATCAAGTTTTTGGCCCAAAAATTTTTTTTAAATATATTAGAATCTAATCTTAAAATTGCAAATAACGACTTGGTACTTTGCTATACTATCGCAAGGAGAAACTTTATCATAATACCATCCAAAAAATAACAAAACTGATAATTGGTTTCGATTT